CAGGCCGGTGCCCAGCCCAGCCCGGGCGCGGCTGGGCGCGGGTCTGGTCCGCGGGAGACTTCTGGGGACCGGGAGAGCAGGAACAGGTTTGGCGAGTTCTGCAGCCTCGGTTGCCACCAACACACACGCGACCTCTCCCCTGGGTTGGCGGGGAGGATTTAGGAGAGATTTCAGTTCCGAGCGTACCGTTGTCTCGGGTGTCAGTGGAAAGACGTGTCGGGAGGAGAATGTTCCCGCAGTAGGTTAAACAGAAAAGACCCCCAAAGAGGAAAGAAAGACACGACATGCTTCAGGGGAACTGTCAAGCTGGCCCTGAGGACACAGAGAGGAGCCGCCTCTACCGCACTATAACCTAGGAAGGCGGGAAGCTAATGCTTTCCTTTCCGCCCGGATCCGGGATTGGATGGAAGGCGTCCGACGTGATGAAATGTGGTAGAAGAATGGCCGTGTAGAACGAGCTCTGGATACTAAAGTTGCGAGACCGAAAAGGACCACGGGCTGTCCGCCACACCTCCTGGCTTGGCCCTTTCCGCAGTCGAGTGGCTCTCGTGGACTACGATGAACACTACTACGGCGGCGCCCCCTGCCGCCTGGCAGCCACCCTGCATGGAAAACAAACCTGTAGTGGGGGCTGACTTCCCCCCTGGAACCCCCTCCCTCCAAGGGCAGCACCTAACCAGCAAGCTCTCCAAAACTGCGGCAAGAAATTGAGCCCCCTGGATGTCTGGCAGTGGCCTGGAAAGCAAATACTGTGGTTTGGGCGTCTGTAAAACAAATCTCCATCTTTTCCTAATTTCACACAGATGAAATGATGAATATTCATTGCACCTATTATGCCAGGCAGGATGGACCCATTTTTGTGCCTTGGGAAAAACAGGAAAGAAACATACATAAAAGGAAATTGTATATTTTAAGGCAGGGACTGGTCGACTTTCTTGTTTTTGTTTGTTTGTTTGTTTTAATTGATTTCAGAGAGCTGAAGGGAGAGGGAGAGATAGAAACACAATAATGAGAGAGAATCTTCCATGGGCTGCCTCCTGCACGCCCCCTACTGGGGATCAAGCCTGCAACCTGGGGATGTGCCCTGACCAGGAATGGAACTGTGACCTGATTCCAGTGCTCAACCATTAAGCCACACTGGGCAGGCTTACTCTTTTTTTTCTCCATAACCTCTGCTCGTTGAAAAGTTTTTTAAAAATCCTTCCAATTGACTCATCAAAGTCTTCTTCACAACACTTACATGATCCTAGTACACTGGAGGAAGAGCACCCTACCTCTTGAGTCCCCACTCTGCTGTTACTATCCAGGCCACTTTAGCCAGTCACAACCTCTCTGAGCCTCAGTTTCTCACCCATAAAACAGCGATGATAATAATACCTAACTGTGGGTAGTATTGTTATGAAGATTAAAGTAGTTAGAAGAGTTCTGAATGCAAAAGAAGTGTTCTCTATTATTATTACTATTACTAGAAGCCCCGAGCATGGATTTGTGCACTGGTGGGGTCCCTCAGCCTGGCCTGCGCCCTCTCACAATCTGGGACCCGTTGGGGGATGCTGAATATCCGGTTTCGGCCCGATCCCCACAGGCCCGATCCAGGCAGGAGGGAGCCCAATCCTGTGCGTTGAGCATCTGTCTCCTGGTGGTCAGTGCACGTCATAGTGACCGGTTGTTCGGTTGTTTGGTCGCTTAGGCTTTTTTATATATATATAGATGATCTCCAACTTCCTCCTTCCCTTTCAGTTGTTAACTAAACCCTGGATATTTACCATAACATCTGTACTACTGCTATCCCAGTCCAAGCTACCCACATTTCCTGCATGGGCTGAGTCAGCAGCCTTGTAAGTGGTCTTAATTCTACTCTTGCCACTGCACCTTCCCTCCAGTGTTAACTTCAGGCAGAAGGCAGAAGATTCTTTTGAAAACCTACAATTTCCCTACTTAAAAATGTTCAGTGACTTTCTGTTGCACATTGAGTAAAACGAGTTCTTACCATGGTCAGCCCGGCCCATGTTGGCCCAGATTACCTCTCTCCCTTTACATGAGCTCCAGCACTCTGGCAACACAGATAACCTTCTCCTGTGGAATTTACCACCTCCTCTTTCTCCCACATGGCTGCTTTCTCTCCAGATGTTCTCAAGCTCCTTATCAGCATTCAAGTCTCAGGAAGGCAGGACAAGTGGTACAGGGAAACTGAGACAAATAGCTGTTATGGGAGAATTGCCTGGATTGCCCTTTTCCTTTGCTAATGCGAAGGAAATTGTTAGGGTACCACTGGAATAAACATTTCTGGAGGCCCCCACAGGAGGATGAGATGTGGTAGAAGCTTTATTTGCATGGAATTACATCCCTAGGGATTAAAAATCCTGAAACCAGTCCTGAAAGATGTGCAACTAGGGACTCAGCAGAGCTAAAAGCAAAGCCAGTGTCTGGAGTTTCCATCCCATAGTGAAGCTGGGTCCAACACAACATCACACTAGTTACAGTCCATCAGTCCAGCGTGTGGCGTCACACCCTCTGCAACAAGAGAGCCAGGAGCCCAGAGAGCACGCTAGAGCGAGCTCCTTTATTTGGAGTTTAAATATCAAATCTTTCCATGCAATAGCCATGTGTATTCTGGCCAATGACCTGTTTCCAGGTGTGACTGACAGATAAGAACCTTCCCTACGTAACCCAGACTACAGGGCATGCATCTAGTTGGCCTTCCCTTTGCTCCTTTCTGGCTGAACAAACTGACAGAGCAATTTACAGCCGGTACAGAAGGCCACCTCCTTAGAAATAACATCTAGGCCTCAGTTGTATTTCAGCTCCAGGCCCAGAAAAGCAGCAAAACCAGGTGGGCAACACCTGGACCAGCGACAATGACTAAAGACCCCCTGCCCTGTCACTAACCAATCAGTGAAGACCGTGACCTTGAAGGAGCACACCTAGAAAACTGATGAATATTCTGCTGAAACCCTCCCGGATGCCTGCCTGCATAAAAAGGATAAAAGCCTCAAGACAAAGGACCCAGCACGTGCTCTCCCTCTGGGGAGCAGCATCTGCCATTCCTTTCTCCTTCCCCCCACAGGCTTCTCCTCCCCCCCTAAGAGACTGGCAACCAGGGAAGCAATGGGCAGCGGCAGTTGGTCCCAGGCTAACCCCTAAACTTGTTCCCAAGGCGATCTTTTCTCTGACTTTCCAGAGGGCGAGGATAGGCCAGCCTAGGCTCTCCTGTTGCTTCTTCTATGCTAACCCTTTTCTTGTTTTTCTGTCCCAGCTTTAATAAAGATTCCCTCACAGTGACCTGGACTCGTGTTGTGAAACTTTTTCTGCAGGTAGTCAAGAACCTACACACTGCCAGCCAGGCCTAGGCAGACCCACTCAGGGCCAGATCCCTGTTTTCAGCAACATTAGTTCAAATGCCACGGTATCAGAAAGGCTTTCTTAGCCAACATGTTATAAAGTAGCCTCGCCCATCTCTATCTCGATACCCTGTGCTATTTTCTTCATAGTAGGCATTGTATCTGGAATCACCATTAAACTGGCAGCGCTAGCCCTAAATGGTTTGGTTCAGTGGATAGAGCGTCAGCCTGCGAACTGAAAGGTCCCAGGTTCAATTCTGGTCAAGGGCATGTACCTTGATTGCAGGCACATCCCCAGTAGGAGGTGTGCAGGAGGCAGCTGATCAATGTTTCTAACTCTCTATCCCTCTCCCTTCCTCTCTGTAAAAAATCAATAATAAAGTATATATTAAAAAAATAAAAATAAACTGGCAGCTCTAAGAGGGCAGGACTTATCAGTCTTGTTTTCCACATAACACCCAGGCCCTTTAACATCTGGACGGGCAGGAAAAACTAAAAACACAAAACAAACAGCAGCAGAAAGTTGACAATAAAGGAACAAATACATGTGCTCTGCAGAACTGTGTAATGACTGAAAATCCACAAATTGTCATCATGAGAGAACAAACTGGTTTTTTTCAATGTTAAAGATACTGAAGAATTAACAAAGGAGAGAGGAAGGAAGTAGGTTAAAATTTCTAAAGAATGCATCGATTCTGCAGGGAAACCTATGGTGGGAAGTCACACAGAGACAGTTCTCTGCAATAATTAAGAGGACTCAGAGGCATAAAAAGTATAGAGTTTGGGTTCAGTGTGCTAAAAGCTTATAAGCATTTTCCAGAGCTGTCTTCATGTTCAAGGCTCCATGCTCAATAGTTTTAAATATTTTCTATACTCCTTCATCTCCTCCTCCTTTTCTCAGCTCCCCACCACAGCCTAGAAGACTGAGATATGCCACAAAGTAGCACATCTTGCTTTGCCTGATGAATGAAAGGCTGAAAATTCAGCTGTGTTTGAGAAACCCAGCTGCTTTTAACCAATTTTCCTATTATAATGTAACGTGGGTTTCAATATTCTTCCAGTACATTAAGCCTTGGTCGCTTTCAGACTGCTCGCTAAGGACTGAGAAGCAGCCAATGCTGCATTTTCTCCCTCCCTTGAACAACTTGGGC